TATATATATATATATATATATGAGAGTGTGTGTGTATACGCACGCGCACACACACACACACAAAGGAGTTTTATTCAGCCATAAAGAAGAATGAAATAGTTATTTGCAGGAAAGTGGATGGAACTAGAGACCATTATGTAAGCAAAATAAGCCAAACTCAGAAGTGTGTTTTCTCTCCTGTGTGGCATCTAGAGAGGCAAAGGGGAAAGAAAGGCATGGGGGTCTCATGGGAATCAAAGGGGGTTCAGCAGAGGCAGGGATGGGGTGAGGGATGGGGTTCATGCAGCTACCTCGGGTGCAGGTGCCAGTCATGACAGTGGCTCCTGTCACTGCTGCCAAGGAGCACCAATGAGATGTGGGAAGAGAAAAGAGTCATTAGTGACACAGTCTGGGCCTGGAGTTTTCCTTATTGGGAGATTAACTGTAAATTCAAATTTCTTCAGTAAGTATAGAACTGTTTAGTGACCACTATTATCACATTTTCTCTAAAATTTGCTAGAATTTATAGTACTGTTCTGCCACACCTGTAATGCTCTTTATCCTGTTCATTGTAGAAACTGACCATTTTATGAACCTTTTAAATTAACCTTTTATCTCTGATTTTCGCTCATTTATTTTTCAGTACTGAGGATTGAAGCAGAGACACTCTAAACTGAGTTACACCCCCAGCTCTTTCAGTTTTATTTTGAGACAGCGTCTTGCTCCTGCTTTAGTCTCTACAGTATCTGGGATTACAGGCATGTGCCACTGTGCCTGTCCTGTTGATCTGTGTCCTGTGCCTGTAAGTTGATCTGGCAGTGGGGTGTGATGTTGGGTGGGAACTTGTAGAGGAAAGCAGACTTCAGGTGTAATTTAGTTGAATTTTATGTTTTGAACTAGTCATGAGAGGTTATATTGACTACTGGGGTTGATGATGCATGTCTGTAATCTCAGTGACTTGGAAGCTAAGGCAGAAGGGTTAGAAGTTCAAGGCCAGCCTCAACAAATCAGAAAGACCCTATCTCAGAATAAAAAATAAAGAGAGCTGGGGATATAGCTCAGTGGCAGAGTGCCCCTGTATAAATAAATAAATAAATAAATAAATAAATAAATAAATAAATAAATAAATAGAAAGAAAAATAAATAAATAGAAAAGAAAAAAGAAATTATACTGTCCGCTATGTCACAGACATCAATAGATAAAAGTGGCTAAGATGATGGGAGTAGGAATCTCCTTCACTTTGTAAATGAATGCAGCTGTGAAACAATCCTGACAGAGATCATCCTATGCAAATTATAACAAGGACTACAAAACAATTACAGATAACTCAATGCTGTGTTCTACTTATACCAAATATCAAGGCATTTATTTAATCCCTTAGAGACAGAACAGAGTGATACAAAAGTTCATGAATACAGATTGCCCTGTGCTTACTGGCACTGTCCAAAGAGGAGGCCTGCATCAACGTCTGTTTCAGAAGAGATGACATGCGGGTCCAGGAGAAGGGAGCTTCATCGCCACCCAAGGGCTGGTGAGGCAACTCAGCTGCAATCTAGTTAGCCCAGTCAGCTCCATGGGACCGTTAGCTAAGCAACTCCTTACTCTCAGAGAGGACAGGCTTCTTTCTGGCAGTGTGTGAGAAGGGACAATGGTAACTGAGGACTGGCAGAGACCACATGAGCTGCACATAAGGAACAGCAGAAAGCGGACAGGGCCTTCCAACCACACAGGGTGACTTATAGAGCCTGGGCAACAGTTGATCTTGCTCCTGGTCCAGGATGATACAGCCAGTAATAGGGCTTCTTGGAGGTGTGTGGCTGACCCAGAGGTAGCTTAAGATTTTGCAAACATTTTGTTTTCTGTTACTGAAGAGGGGTTCGGTAATATCTGCAAGCCTGTTTATGTTTGTAACAGACAATAATAGACTCCAGGGCCATAAACGTGAAACACACACACACCCTTTCATATTTGTTATAATTTCTACTGCATTGTTAAAATACAAAGACAAAATATTAATATCTGGAATATGAAATCTTGATATCAGTCTGTGTCCTTGAGGCACAGGTACCAGGGCTAATGCTCTCACAATCTTAGTGCTCATTATTTAACACAACACAGAAAACAAACCACCTTAAGGCTGGATATGGTGGTACAGGCCCATTATCCTTCTATCTGCGAGGCTGAGGCAGGAGGATCATAAGGCCATCCCAGGCAGTTTAGCAAGACCTGTTTCACAATTAAAAAGAAAAAAAATATAAGAAAGGCTGGCAATATAGCTCGGTGGTGGAGCTCCCCAAGTAGTGTGCTCGGGTATGCCCCACACACTCAATAGCAACTCAAGGATGTTAATAAAGGGGCAATCTACAGACATCTCCAAAATGAAACCAAACCAATGGTGGCACCCAGAGCTGTATTCACCCTAGATCTGAGGGCAAGGAGAAGGAGAGCTTAGGAAATCTTTAACCAAAGAGGGGCCACAGCCAGAAAGGCTGTGAACTGGAAAGCTAAGCCAGTGTCCAGCAGGGAGTGAGGAGGGCACAGAGGGTCCCTGCCCTCCATCCCGATCTGCTCCTGGTACCTTACACTGTTCAAACATGAGAAGAAAAACCAGTGGAGTCATCCCTAAGACAAACTCTGGGGTGCAAAGGAGAAGGAGCAATGGGCCTGGAGAGACAGAAAGCAACCAGCATGTGAACATCTAGGACTTAAGACTCCCGAGTGTGGCTGCTGAAGGGGACTTACCCTGAGCCCCGGGAACAGCTTCCCACTTGGTTGATGGGGTCCATTCAACTACCCTTTCCCCCAAGCACTGGGGACCCAGCCCAGGGTTGCTCTCACACTGAGCCAGCCCTTTTTCTTCTCAGAGCTTCTGCTCCTCCTGCCTCAGCTTCCTGTACAGCCAGGATCATAGGCATGGCTACTGTGCTCAGCCATATCCAACTGCACTTAAGGGTCACCCACATGCTATGTTGCCAGACACTTATCTTCTCATCATCTCAAACACTCAGAGTCATGATACAGGCTGTGAGGGCCAACTCTCCTCTCAAAGCACTCTGAAGTGCTCTCATCCACCCCTCATCGCCATTCCCAGAACTCTGGGCTCCCTAGACAGATCCACACTTCCATTCTGTACTGTTCTCTGCTTCCCAGGGCTTCCTCAGCATCTCCTATGGGCAGGTCAACCTGTGGAACAAACAATCTTCTGACT